GCGGAGGGCGCGAAGGGGAGGAAAATTTCGAGTCCCACCACTTCTCACGCCTTTGCCTCCCCCGACCGCTGGAGGTCCCTCTCTCACCCCGTCGTGATCACATTCTCGCTTAGGCAGCCAGCCCGACGTCGGGCTCACACCCTTATCTACCCACTTACCCCACTTTCCTATCCCGGGCGTGAGATTGATCCTCGCTCTTTGTTCACGTGCTCGTCCGACTAACGAAACTTCGGAAACTTTCGAAAGCCGAAAAAGTCGAAGTGCGAGATTAGGTGCAGCGGGACCAGCATCAAGATAATATTGATTGTAGCGTTCGGCGCGCTCTTGGAATAGTTTTCCCACCACAGATTCGTCGGAATTGTTTACCGGCTGTACATTGGGGAATGAAAATCAATCGTTTAATTCCACAATATATTTCCAGCGTTATTTCTGGATGTAGTTTTATTATGTATGTATTTATTTCAGCTTGACGATCAGATGGCCGCATTTAACGCTAAAATACGAACCAGTGAAACACGCTGCATAATAAGGTATCGGAATAAAAGGAGGAAATCCTGGGTAATCCAATCCGGCTCTTAAATGGATCTCAATAAAGAATAACGGAACGACGATCGTTTCGCGAAGGTATTTGTAAAGAAAGAAAATCCCTCAGAGCTATATTGAACCCGACATATTTATTTATTTTGTTTCCTCTTGATCTCATTGGCTTGTTATTCGCGTGGGACATTAAGGCCCGTATCAACAGTCGTTTCTTGAAACTTGCCTCAGGTAAGATCATCAGATATGAATTTAGAGTTAGACGTGAGTTCTTCGGCTAAATCGCCCTTACAAATGTAATGTCGCATAGGATTAATAAAAAGCCGAAATCTGATTCTAAATTCCGATCTGAATATCTGATGTGGAACAAGTTTCAAATAACGAGTAAGCTTAAAGATTGCAGAAAGACATGTCATTCAAAACCATTTTGTCCTATTTCAGATATCTCAATCTTACAATCAGCCTTTCACGCATCGTCTCTCTTTTTTTAAGCAAAGAATATAGATAACGGACAATGTAAAAAGATATCGGATAAATGAAGCAACGATTTTAGCATGGCTGTGAATTGAAACGTCGACAAATTGCTACAAATCACGTTTAACTCGATTTAGAACGGCACGTCGCGGATACAACGTTCGCATTAGAAGGGAGTTCCAGTTTCCTGTACGTGTGTGCTAATAGTAGGTGATGGGATCGAAGCTTAACCAGTAATTATATCAGAGAGTGTCGTCGCCGAGTGCAAAGCTGCTTCCATGTCCATGTGCAATTTATTCGACGTTCTCATGCTTAATTGGATCATTTCGGGCTTAGCAGTTCGACGAACAACACAGTGATATCCGACGAACAACAGCAGTGATATCCGACTCGGAAACGTTCTATGTGATATAAATGATATATATCGAGACGTTTGTGATTGTAGTTCACGTCAAGATTAGCGGCAATGCATTATAAGCCGGTTCAGCTGCAAGAATATTTTACTTGGCGCACGTATTTTCCATCTGTTGTTGCGACTCATTCAGAAAATATAGCGCAATTAAATGAAATTCTACTAATTTTACACACTACGTGTTGTCTTCTTGTATTCGGTATACGAGCCGAGGTATTCGAATTTAGAACAATACAATTTTCTTTTGAGATATCGAATTAATAATATTATTCCTGTGCTTCTCATTAAAACAGCCGGTATTAGATATTTCGCCGTTTTTAATTATTTAATGCCTACCAATGTCCCCAGATGTTTTCGAGGAAAATTTGTTCTATTCTTGAAATTTTATTATGATTGCAAAATAAAGGACTTTTTCTTCACATTGATCTAAACTACAAGTATATAACGGATATCTCGCATAGCGACAGATATCCTGTATATAAAAGGCACGTTGAAACGATCTATAGAAAATGCCGGGCATTATTCCATATAAATGACGGAGGGATGGTGCGATTTTCAGTCCTCCGTTTTTTACCTTAAAGACTCTCGGAGTAAAGATTATTGGAATTCTTAGCGCGTTGAGTACGGCACGCGTGGGCATAATTTGCCGACCACGATTGAACGCGAGTCTTGTCACAACAGCGAATAGGAGAGCGTACTCAATCGGACGTGTCCCACCTGAATGGTAATCGTCAACTACAGGTCAAAGGTAACCCGCGATACTCTCCGGTTTGAAGGACAAAGGAAATGCAATTCTCTCATGCAATTTCCCCGCGCCGGCGCCGAATGAAGTGCCGGAATTTGGCACTTCAAAGACCACGCCAGTGGTATTGTCGTCCCAGCGGTATCTACTTTTCATTCCGTCCTTGTTACCTTTTTCCGTCGTGCCCTATCGATCGCGCGGCTGTTATATAGCTCGGCTCTCTATGCGCGAAACACACAACAAGATTAGCAAATACGCATCGTCGAGAATCACTTCAGAAGGAGGGAGAAAGAGAGAGGTTAAATATTTTTAATTCTGATAATGTGCGATGATATTAACGACATGTGTATTTGCGCACGGATAAACGGATAATAGAAATAATTCCGCACGATTAGAGGGCGGACGCATGAGCGATTTAATCAAATCGGCAGATAATCGAGCTTCATTTCTTGACAATTTAACACGTTTTAATCGAGAGTTATTATTCCGTTCCGCGCGACTGCCGGCGAATTTCGATACGTGGCGATCTCATTATTTTGTTTCGATGTGTGTATGATATCGGTCCTTTTCAGCCAAAATTGATTACCGCAGCAATCTATCCTTGTCCGGCAGATGGACGGCGGGTTACAGATTGCACGCGTGCTCTCTTCAATCATTTGCCGCCCCCTCCCTCCTCCGTCTCCGGGTAAACGATCGGCCGGATTTTAACTTTCGAACAAATTCCGATCGCATTAATTGCCCCGCGTTATTTCGCCGGAACAATGTTGCGGGTGCGTAATGCTCATCCACGGGCAAAAGACGAGCGAATTAATATCGATTTTTTTTTTCTCAACCACGGCAATTTGATGTCCTCTGACAAACGGGTAACCGCGTCGGATCGACGTAGCTGTTGAGTTTACCGTGCGGGGTTTACAGTCCTCTAATTGTGATTGAGCGGCAATGGTCGCGTTGACAATTACACACGGCGACATTTCTGTTGACGCGATGACGATTATCATTAAATTCGGCGCGCTCTAATTGTCCGCGGTCGCGAATGCTGGAAGGAAAGATCGGATTTTAATGGGTCGCCTCGCCAGTCGATCCGGCTGATGGATTCGAAGTGATGCGATGCGTTTCCATTGAGGGACACATCCCCGTTGAAAATTTCCACGTGAATTCTCGCGGAAACCCATGTGAATCCATATAGGATAATAAAAATCCATACGGGAGCCCATGGCTTGTGAAAATTCGTATAGGAATCCACATGGATTCTTATTTAGAACCTGGGTTTCTCGCGTCCAGGGACAACCATGGGATTCCATATGGTTTTTTATACGGATTGCCATCTAATTTTTTGAACAGGGTATTTCCAGTTGCTTTGACTGCGATTTCCATTCATTTCGCCTCCGTCGTGATCATCCCTCAGTAATTATCTCGCGATTTTCATTCCAACTCGCTGTTCGTACTCGTTTTCGCATAAAGCAGTCAAAATTCCTCGTGGAATAATAATCGTGGGAAGCCGACACGCTCTCTCTCTCTCTCTCTCTCGCTTGCTGTATTACAAGCTATCCACAAACAATGTGCTATTTTAAGCCGTAAGTCTCATACGGAGTCCCGAACGGAATCGTAAGATACATCATACCGTGGACATACCCGAGTATGTGTTACAACGGTGCGCGTAACGAAGATATGGCATTCGTACGTACGCTTCTCTAGACCTCCTTTCATTTTACTTTTTAATTCCCAGTCTTTCACAAATGAATGAACGAGATGATCGAAAATTCAAGATTCTGAAATAAAGTATCGGATGATTAATACCATGAATAAATAAATGTGCAGAAAGCTCCGTTGGGTCCTCTATTCGATCGATGAATTACTTGTCACATTTTCATTCATGCACAGAAAACAAGAAGTATAATAGTTCCCTCAGCTCAAAAAAATGGATCTAACGAAATTTCAGTTGCAAATTATCTCCGTAGCGATAAGTGAGCGCGAGAAACCGAGCGCGAGACGCCGGCAATTGCACGTGAGAATCTATAATTGAATATTTCGTAACTCGGCGGGAATGCGGGGAATTGCGAAGTATTTTGCGAGACCGAGATTTCAATGTTCTCTTCGAAAACAACTCTTGTGTTGCAAGGCACGACGGTGGGATGCTTATTTACCAGTGACTTGACGGTTAACACGGCGTATGCACTGAGAAAAATGCCCGATCATATCTGATCGGATAATCCAATTAAAAAATAACAAACGAATATATATATATATATATATCTGATCAAGTCGTGTCTTTACGGAATGAAAATTATAACGGACATATGAAAGGCGACTAATTTCCATCGGTAACTTCGCCGAATATTTCATCGGACAAAGGTGTCCGTTACTTGATCGGACGACAAAAATAACAATCGGATACATCATTTAATCGGTTTATCCGGAAATTTTTCTCAGTGTATATCACAGGAAAACAAAGAATTAATAACTAATAGTCGCTTCATAAATGCAAATTGTTCCCGGCAAGGATCGTCGGACAACTGACTGAGCCGCTGGCGGTTTTACTCTTTCGCCGCGGGCGCAGCAGTAACGAGCATATCTACTTACAGGCTCATGCTACGTGTTTCACGAGGTACAACGTGGTCAGGCGTATTATGACAACGGTGCGTGCGTAACGCGTAGTTTTGTGTGCGAACGATACTGCGATACACGGGCCGAAATTTCGGTCCGTGTATATATCGGCCGCGTATAATGCATGCGCACGTACTGCATCAGATGGCCGCTACATACGCGCGCTCTTCGACAACGCGTGCGCCCATATTAAACGCACATATTTGCGCGTCAATGTATATGTGTACTTACTATTCCAGGACCGTTGAATCGGCAGGGCAGCAGCGCGTTGCCGCCGGTCTGCGCTAAAACATCCTTGACGGATTTAGGCCTGGGGTAAGAGCCAACGTCGCTCTGCTTCGTCGGTCCGCCTCGGTCGATCGCGCAGTCTGTGGAAATTTCGAATCATTGAAAACGTCTGCGTCCTCCACGATCTATTTATTTCGAGTAGACCTTTTTCAAGACGTGCGCTATCTTTAAGACAGTTAAAAATTGCGTATTAATGCACGAAAGTGAATCCACTCGACATTGAGCGTCGTTAATATTTCGCCGTCTCTCGGAGACTCGATGTTACTTAAATTAGACCAGATGGACCGATCCAATTTTTAATCGAATATCGTTCGTTAAATCTCCGACGATCTCTTTACTTTCTTGTTCTATATTTGTAAGCTATAAATGACGGTTAAATCGCTTCTAGTTTTAACGAGACGGTTAAAGATTGGATATGGCCGATTGGGCATTCGTTAACAAGAATATGGTAGGGACTTGCGCAGAGCTTGCAGATGAAATTAGATTTTCAACTGGCGAGTATGTATACGGGTCCAATTATTTGAGGGGATTTGTGGATGTATATTTCTTTCTGGCTAAACTATAGTACAAAATGGAGCGGACGTATGTGTGTGTGTGTGTGTGTGTGTGTGTGTGTGTGTGTGTGTGTGTGTGTGTGTATATAATTGTGATCGCGAATAATTACAGATATTTATAAAACCTGTAGTATATTAACGCATATAAAAAAATCGACGCTTTTATATTATTTCTTTTAACTGAATTAAGTGCGAAAATTAATTTTAGATTTCAATAACGCCTGCATCATACGGCAAATATTTTTCCTACGCTGGGCGCGCTTACATCGAATTTAACGCGAAATGGTTATTGCGCAAAAGGATTATTAATATAATTATCACATTTAACAACGCATACACAAATAATAACGGCTTATTTTAAAAAACGACCGTAATATTCGACACTTTTCCGTGTTGTTTGTTATTCGTTGAAATATTATTTGATGTCAAATATAATCAGAGAACATAAACCCTGAAATACAGTATTAACATACAAGAAATAAATATAATTTTACGTTTCACTCAAATGTCATCGTCGACGCGAGAAAAAGTATTGCGTGTTTATCGCGCACTTTTTCTCAGCTGTAATTGCACGGAGATTTTTCCGTCACAATATGCTACTTATTTTTTAATGAAATTATATAATATAATGTATTAATGTATTTCAAAGTTTTTCCAATATTTTTAATCTCCGATGTATATTTTGAATGTCCAGTACCGTGCAGTTAATTCCTCTCTAAAAGAGGCATAAAAAGTTCGAAATTATCGAAATCATACATTTGTTCGTTTTAGCAGAACTAGGTTACATTTTTTGCACTGAAAATGAAATAGGTATTTAAACCAGCGATAAAGGTAAAAGGAACGAAGTTCTTGGAATTCCCGTGCAACATTAGTAGTTCAATTAAAACCAACAGGCCTATTGTTGATTGGCCGTCGCGCTGTCGTGTCGCGGCTTGCCAAATCATTGCGTGAAGTCTGACAATTCATCATCAACAGTTTACGGGTTAAAGAAGACCAAAAATTAAAATATTAAACAAGACAAAGAAGAGGTCGAAGAAGACAAAGAAATAGATCGATATTAGTCTGATAGATAATACTAATCAGATACCTATATAATTACACGGACTGAGATTATTCTTGGTATAATATAATAATTAATTAAATAGCGTACGCGTAGCGCGCGTCTATAACGTTCTAGCATCATGAAATTTCAGCGGGTTATACCCTGAGGCAACACGATTTTATTTCCGGTGGAACGTTATCCCTCTTGTCTCAATGAGAATCTCAATTAAGCTGAGTTATCGAGATACTTAGCATTAAGGGGATGCCATACTTGAAAATTTTATCGACAGAATACTGATTCTTTTCTGCAAAGATTCAGTAAGATTGTTCAGAATAAAAATCAATAAGATTTACATCTTATTGATTGCACAAAATTACAAATGCTTCTACGCAGCGAAAGTACGTGTGGAAATAAATTGGGGGATGTGGTTGAAGTTTGGAACGATTTTCAAGCGAAAATTAAAAAAATACTTCAAAACTGAAATCTCGACCTGTTAAATAGAATAAACATTTACCTAAAACAAAAATTTTGCTTATTGTACGTATCGATTGTTTATTTGCTCCAATGAGGAAAATTTCGAAGAACATTTCTATATCCTTATAATTATACACAAAAGCCTGAAGAGATACGAAAATTTTACAGAAAATATTTTATATATCCTCGTTAGATTCTCTGTTAGATACGATAAAATAAAGTAGCGCACCTTCATCTTATTTACATTTATATCGCACTAACATTTACGTAAGACCTATATGTATAAGTAATGCAAACGTGATCGTATCAATGTTTTATGCAACGTAACTTTTCGAAGAATTCCTCAATTCTTCATTGCCTCTACGTTTATTTATAGATGCTTATCAAGTTCGTCAACGGCTGTAGCATCCCCTTAACACGTTCATTGCCAAGCTGAAAATTGGAATTTCGTGTGGTGGCCAAATTTTTTTTAATTTTTTTACTTAGTTTTTATTGTGCTCAAAATAAGTTAATATATTATTTATATGCTTTTATGATTATGTACATAGGATTTATGTACTCTAAATATCTATTTCGCGATAACGCGTGATCGGCCGTTTGGTGAGAACTCGCATCACGCGATATCGCGTGATTGGCAATGAACGTGTTAAAAGATGCTCGTGGTCAACATTGGATTAACATCTTGCCCGTCTAAGCAGGCGCGATCTCATTTCGCTTTGCCGACGGCGAGCATTGTCGCTGGCATTGTCACACGTGCGTTTACGTCGCGTTACTGCAAGAAGTCATCTAAGCAGTCAGTAGTGCACGTGTTTGGACTAAAGCGTAGAGGTTCCGGCTTTCCCTCTGGCGTCTACACCCACATTCAATATAGACCGAGGGATATTGGAGATCTGGTTACCGTACGTGTGTATGATTAGTTCAGATTAGATCTGACCGAGTCGGCAGTGACCACCTCTCGCGTATCACATGTACTGCCGGCAGCGGTGCGCTCCGCATTCACGTCCGCGCGTCTATTTCAAATAATGAGTAAAGAGATGAAGAGGGAAATTATGTCAGGTGATGTTTGCGGCAATCTCGGCGTTGGAATCGTGAAATGGGGTACTGAAACGACGGGCGAGCGGTTATCTCCGCATTGGCGCGGTATCGCGGCTGCCGCTATTGATCGGGTATTTATAACGGGCAATATCTCGTCGTTATTATGAGAATAATATCGCGGAATTATAGGCATAAAGTACCCATCGGCCAACTCGCGGTTATTGGCCCAGGGAGGTCTTAACGACAAAGGGATCCATTGAAGCAACTCTCGGAGATATCGGAGAAATATTCCTCAGCATTGATCACAAATGGCAAATGTAGCGTCGCAATGGAATTAAAATGTCCATGAAGCAAATGATCGTCTATTTTTCATTACGTCTTTGCGAAAATTATCGCTTACGGGGCAACTGTCGATCGTTACGACACGAAATGACATGGTAATATTGCTTTCGCTGACGGTTATAATTGCAGAGAAATAGAACGAAGGATAGAAAGAGTCAAATGGAATTGCGTTTCATAAAACGCTTTATGAAACATTTATATCTATTAATCGATCGTGCATGTTGGGTAATGATTTTCCTAGTAGTATTGATTCCTTTAATATATCGCAGAATATGCTTAGAAACAAACTGACTGGCATGCTTGTTAAATCGTAAATGTTTTATATCTCTGGTTTAGATTATATCGTCTCTATAAATTAAGTATATCGTTTACATTTTATACCGTGAAAAAAGAAATAATTATACTTATCTATTTATTTAATAAAATAATAATAATGAGACATGATTCACCGCGTACGTTAATCCGGAGGATTATCCAGTGCATACGTCATTGCACGCTGAACAATATATCCTCCCACAATAATTGAACAATATTGTTACAACCATGATTTGGCTTTTAAAGATTCTTCCTATTTATCTATGGTTAAATCACCAAGTCAATGTAAGGTCGATATAAGGATATAATAGTGATATATTTTTCTCAAAGAACTAGCATTCGGACGAAGCGTTGATTAATTCCTCATCAACACCCCGTCCTTGAGGCCTTGCTGAGATAATCTGTTGCTTCTCCATCGATATTTATCTTGCTCGCTCTCTCAACGGAAGCCAGGTCCGACCGTTACTTTCTCCTGTTTACTCGCGTTGACTGTAATACACGACCGTGAAAGTGCGAACGGTCAAACCGGCACGAGAATGAATTGGAGGAGGTTCAAGGTGAGAAGGTAGGTAGCTAGGTAGGTAGATAGATAGCTAGGTCGGTGCAGGTAGATATGCAGCGGGCTAGCTGCCGCAAGTTCGTCCTCACGCTTTGGTATTGCCAAAGTTTACTTCACTCGGAGGAACTTTTCCCCCGGGAATTGATTCACCTCCGTCTTCCGGCGCTCGCTATTTTGCGCTTTTCCGCGATCGTGTTCGGTCTGCGTGCACGCGTGTGTACATGTGTGTACGTCTCGATTTTCACCGTGCAACGCTTTCCAAGGACAACAATGCCGTGTGTTCTTCCGTGTTGTCCCGTAGGTCATGCAGTTATCCACGCTGGGATACCGTGGTAGTTACTGTCGCGTAACGTATGTGTAACGACTTCGCGGGAACCACCGTCGTAAACCGAAACGCGTCGGGTCGAGAATATTATACGCCGTCGACGCGGCTCGCTCGGTGACGTTCGGCGCGCGAATGGCTCCGCAGGATCGAGAAATTCGCCGAGTCGAGTCTCGGGGCGCTAGATGGAATTTTTATGATCGAATGTGTTGAAAATATCATCACGTCGTGGGAAGCGGCCAGTTCCTGCGGAAGTTGTTGGCTCATTCCGAATGTATTGGACAATGCTTACGGCTATGCGCGCAATCTATGTATTGCAGTGTGATCAAATATTTCGAAACTTCATCGGTCATAAAACAGCATCCGGAAGGGCTCGACATAACGAAAGCGGCTTGAGTGAAAAAGAGACGAACGACGGGATCATCAATTGCGTTATT